AAGATTGTCTCTTCTCCATCGACGACATAGTCCCATTCAGACTGGGGGGAAAAGTGTACCACATTCATACAACCCACAAATTTCGACCCTGGTGCTTCAAGTGCAAAGCATACGGGCACCTATGCACGGAAACGGCCTGCCCCTCGCACCCGAGCAAAAGGATTCTCAAAGCAGGCCGCCTCCAGCAGGACCCACGTAGACCAGGGAAATGGTACACCGGAAGCCCTGGGCATGAGGGATGGGTATATTTGGAGGATGTGGATCACAAGGGGCAAACCAAGGGCTGGAGCTGGGAAGGGCGGGGGGACCCGTGCTGGGACACTAAACCACCAAATGACTGGACCCCGTTCCCCCAGAAAGAGCCCAAGAAGATATCTACGAAAGACACATCAGACAAATCAGATCCCAGACCGTTGCCTCAGCCTCAGGAAAAGGAGAAGCAACCAAATGAACAAGTTGTGCCTGGGAAAGATAAACCAGACTCTGCAGCGTTGCCTCAACCTCTTAACAAGGAGATGCAAGTAAAAAGACTATCTGGGCAGGTGCAGGAGAAACAAAAGAAAAAAGGTTGGGGCCCGGCTCCCAAAGAATACCTACCAACAGGGAACTTGATAACTGGACAAATGAAGGAAGGGACACGGCACGGRCAATACAAATTGAAAGGAAAACYGTCCGAAGGGTCTATYGGCCAGAAAGAAGAGGGGAGCTCCAGAGCGGAACAGCGAGATAAACAGACCGAGCCGGACCTGTTCGAGCAAGCTTTCGGCCTGGCACCCATGGAAATAGAAATCCCCCTTGGCATCCCCTCTCCTCCCCAAGCCCCGCAACCACCACCAGAAGTCGATATGGCGGAGGCACAGCAGGAGGAACTCACGGAGGACCGAGAACACTCGGAGGACCAACCTGAAGGGGTCAGTCTCCAGGCTATGGCGGATTGGCTAATGGAAAGCCTTCACGTCAAGTACGGTGGGGGCGATGATGAATTCTGGGATGAAGTATACAGAGCCCTGGTCCCCATGCTAGAGAGCAGCGCCAGCCTGCAGAGGGCCCTGCTCCATGGCTTACCTGAGGGGTCTAACTGGCCAATCATATGCAACAAGCTTCTCTACATTGTGCTCACTCGCTTCCAACCCCCTCCTCCCCAACAAGAGGCTGGATATAAGGATGGGCAGGCCACGGCGGCGGGCAACTCAAAAGAAACGGAAGGGACCAAGGGACAAGAATCAGGGGAGGGGGAGTCATCGACACCGAGTGAAGGAAATAATCCGTCACGGGAGCAGATTAATGAAGGGGAGGAAAAAGATCAGATGGATACAGGCCAGAAGGCTCACGACGGGATAGGAAAAGGAGGTGATAAAGAACGATGTGCTCAGCAGGAAAAGGCTGCGGGGCAAAAGGGGAAGGTGAGGGAGTTAGGGGTTAAGAGACACGGGTCCAATGAAGGAGCAGGCTGAACAGCGGCCACCAAGGGGAAAGGAAAAGGGGGAAACAGAGGGGCTGGAGAAGGGGCTGTGCATGGCCTTGCCAGCCTGGCCTTCGCCCGCTCCCAAAGATGGACAAGAGCCCCCCCCCCCAAAGCCCCCGGAAAAGGAAAAAGAGGCTCTCCCCCCACCGGAGACCCCGGGGCCGGAGATCACCAGCAAGAGGCAAAAGCTGAGAGTAATACTAGACGCAGCCCCCCCCGACCCCCTGCCGTCAAACAAAGGAGTCGCCTTTATACCTGTGAGGAAAAAAGAGGAGGGATGGGAAGTTGACCTCCCCGCCCCCCCTGGCGCAATGCATGGGGAAATAACCATGACTGGCCGCTCCTCTTTCTTCCTCGCGCTCACATCCTGGGCAGAAGGCCTACCGATCCGTGGGCCAGAAATTGCCCACCTAACCAAAGACCTGGTGCCCAAAGGTGCTACGGCCGCCTTGGTAAGGTCGTATGGGCCCCATAGGTTGACGAGCAAAGATTTGTTCCTACGCTATGATCACACTCAGACTAAGGAACTGCGGTGGTTTGATCAGGAAAGCCTTAAAGATCTGCAACTACTCAAAATTAAATCGGGCGACCTTTGGACGGTCGACGAGATCAGAAGCTTCCTGATCAAGTTGCTGCGTTTTGGCACACTACAAAAAGGGTGGCCCGCTGGATGCAGAGAAGTGGCTGCCTATATATATATATATATATATATATATCGTCACAAACAGAACTGCCCGGTAAAACCGTAGGCAGAGAGAGAGAAGAGGACAACAAACGAGGGGCTGTGACAAACTGTTTCGTCGGAGTTTCACCGACTCATCAGGAGGCTGAACCCTATATATAAAAACACGGAGTAAAAGTAGTCCAGTATGAACGTAGTGGATGCGATCTACGGCAGGGACAGGACCTTAAAACACTGTAAACGGCAAGCGGACCTGGACCTGCGTTCTCTGAACGTTAACGGACTGGCCACTGCGAAACCCCCCAAAAGACAAGCCATAATGGACCAGCTAAGAGGGGTGGAAGGGAGGGAATGGCCGGACATTGTATGTCTGCAGGAAACCCACCTTATGGACTGCCCGGAGCACAATCACATACACAAAGAAACGTGGCCATACCAAGCCTACAGGGCCCACGCCCCTAGGCCTGGCAGCGGGGGAGTAGCAATGTGGCTCCCCCCTGGCACAAAGCTAGAAATGTTAAATTGGGCAGCGGACCAGGAGGAAGGAAGGTGGGTTTTTCTTACTCGCAATGTTGGAATTGGAGGTGGTTTGCATACTTAATGTATACGCCCCGAACGAACCGGCAGTCCGTCAGAGATTCTTGGACTCTCTAAAGGCTAAACTGCCACCAGGCATCCCTCCGATCCTAGTAGGCGACTTCAATGCCGCCCCGGACCGCTGGCTTGATAGATGGCACATCCCCTCCCCATGCCCCCAATATCTGCAAAATGACGAGACATGCATTGCAGAACTGCTCCAATCACTTAATCTCTTTGACAACTTCAGGAGACTCTTCCCCACAGACCGACGTTTCACATGCTTTTGCAGAAATAGCAAAGAAAAGACGTCCAAATCTCGCATAGACTTGATCCTGGCCGCGGAGGAGATCCAAGGGGCCCTCCAAATTGCTGAAATATTCCCTCGCAGCCCGTACCCGGGCTTGGACCACGCCATGTGCATGGCCATATTTTCTTTCAAAAAAAAACCTGACCAAGGCAGGGGCTTCTATAAACTCAACACATCCCTCTTGAAAATCGAGCGTTTCCAAACCTATCTTAAGGAGACCTGGGCATTCTGGCAGGACCAGAAGAACCAGGTTGGCGACCCTATAGCATGGTTCAACAACGGCCTTAACTTTCTAGGCCACAAGTGCAATGAATACTCGAAGCTTCTAGCGAAGCAACGTTACGCAGAGGAAATGAGTTTATAGCACCAACTTCAAGATCTACAAAGATTGGAGGACGACACCACCGACCCAGTGGGGCTTCTATAAACTCAACACATCCCTCTTGAAAATCGAGCTTTTCCAAACCTATCTTAAAGAGACCTGGGCATTCTGGCAGGACCAGAAGAACCAGGTTGGCGACCCTATAGCATGGTTCAACAACGGCCTTAACTTTCTAGGCCGCAAGTGCAATGAATACTCGAAGCTTCTAGCGAAGCAACGTCACGCAGAGGAAATGAGTTTACAACACCAACTTCAAGATCTACAAAGATTGGAGGACGACACCACCGACCCAGTGGGGCAATCTGAAATCACCAGCACCATTCGCAGTCTCGAAACTCGACCCCTAGGCCATATGGAAAACCGATGGCAGGGAGCCAGAATTCACGGAATGCTCTCAAGACACATCACCGAGGGAGCAATGGAAGCGAAATTCTTCGCTAAGGCCAAAGCCAGGTCAGGGAGAACTGTAATAGAAGCCCTGGAGGATCCTACCGGTTCAAGGGCCCCCTACTAACATCTACGGCCGCGTGCATAAAAATAGCCAGGGACTTTTATCAGTCCCTGTTTACCTTAGAATGTGGAAAACATGTAACGGTTCAACGGTTGGGAGAAATAACTGCTTTCCTTCAACCGCTCACCAAGACCCTCACAGACAGGCAAAAGGAAGACCTGGACCGACCCCTATCAAAAGAGGAGATAAGGACTGCGCTGACACAAATGGAAGAAGAAAAGACCCCAGGTATTGATGGACTGCCAAAGGAGTTTTGGGACGCCCTATGGCCAACCATTTCACAGGACCTGATGGACTACTATCAGGATGTTTGGAGGACAGGTCACACAGGGGAAATAGTGAGCCAAGGCGTATTAACCCTCCTCTACAAAAAAGGGGATAGGAATAACATCAGGAACTACCGGCCTATCACACTTCTCATTGTGGTCTACAAGCTCGTGGCGAAGGCCCTGGCGAACCGGCTGACGCCGGTTATGACGAGCATCATCCACCCTGACCAGACTGGATTTATCCAAGGCAGGGACATTCAGGACAATATACTCCTGGTAAACGAAATGATCAAGCTCTCACGTCACTCAAATCACAACGAGGCCATAATCTTCATAGATTTCGAGAAGGCATATGACCACGTGGATTGGTTGTTCCTGGATAAGTGCCTAGAAAAACTCTTCGGGCCAGACTTTCGGAGATGGGTAAGGATCTTACATGAGAATGCAACTACCAGAGTTATGGTAAATGGGAACTTAGCTCCGCCCATCGAACTGCAAAGGTCTGTCAGGCAAGGAGACCCGATTGCCCCCTACCTCTTTGTTATAGTCATGGAGGCGCTGGCGGCTAATCTGAGAACACACAAGGACATCAAGAAAATCCAGGTTACTTCGATACCACAGGAAGCAATACCGGTATGCTCCCTCTTCACAGACGACCTGACCCTCATGGTCGACGCGTCCAAAGAAGCAATGGAAGGAATTCAGCACATGATGGACCGTTTCTGTCGACTATCTGATATAAGGGTAAATTGGGGAAATAAGACACAAGGCTGGTGGATACACTACCAGGGCACGAGGCCTCCATAACAACCTAAGGTCAAGTGGCTCCCCCTTGATGCCCCTATCAGGGTCTTGGGGGTGATAATGACAGCAAAAGGGAGACCATCCGGAATAAGCGTCTGGATAATCTGGAATGCGGCGTGGCATGCCCGCAAGACCTAAGAAATGCATAGGAAAGAAAGTCAAATTCACACCAAAGAAAGTAATCCAAAAATGAATTTGACCTAAGGTTTCTGGATATTGAAGTCCAGAGATTTTCCCTATCCAATAGTAGAATCCTGCAAATAGAGCGAATACGGCTCCCATAGAAAGTAAGTAATGAAAGTGTGCTACTATCAGCAGGTGCGAAGCACAAAAAGTTATAATGGGATATCTCTCCTAAGTACCCAAATTCATGCCGTGAAATGGAAGGCACAAAATCACGTCTCTTGGGTTAGGCGCGAAGCGCACAGAAAAGTATACCGAAGAAGGATACACCCGAGACTCATTCTCCGCCGAGCCCCTATCAAGGAGCTAGGTTAGGACTTTCCTGCATATAGTGAAGTAATAAGGTCAGAGATTACTCGTCTGACACGGCAATGAGTTTACCACTTTCATCGGCGAACAACCGAACCGTTGGAACCTCGACCTTCCACCATTACTGATGGGGTAAGACTATGCCTTCACCATCAAATTGAATTTTATCTGTCTTATGGTTGTTATCGTGTCGCCATAAGGCCCAACGAACACATACTAATGGACTTGCGGCCACGAAGTGGGTGAACAATGAATGGATCACAGGTCCCCCCCTGGAAAAGATGATACAATGGCAGGATAAGCAAACTTCCTTTTTGGGTGTGCGCTGATAATCAACAATGTCGTATTGGCCACTCTCTGGTATAAATCTGCCATTTGGGCGTTAGACAAGAAAGCCCTTCGCCCCCTACAACGCCAGCTGGCTGCATTCCTGTGGAGACGAAACCACGAGTATGGGATCCATCATCCAACCGAAATCGAGAGGTGGACTGGGCATCATAGACCCTCCCTGCAAACCAGAGCACTGGCGCTGCAGTGGCTCAAAAGGCTCATGTTAAGCCCAGAGACCCCGTGGAAGGGGCTGGCCAGGGAACAGATCACGCGATTGGCACCACCGACAGCACCAGAATGCGACCCGCTGATGTGGTTGGAAAACCGACAATGGTCCATCCCCAAAAGAACATCGTCGAGACCAAACACCCTCCCTCCCACCTCGGCCAGACGAGCAGCAAGGGAAGACCTACGAAAAGACCCGTTCTGGTCGGCCCTCCTCAGTACATGGAGGAGCCTCCCCCTCCCAGACAAAAATCCACCAGAGAGATGGGAAGAGGTGGCCCGACAACCCCTCTTCGGGAACAGATGGGTGGTGGACTCGCAAGGACGAACCCTCCACTGCGAAGATTCCCCTTGGCGTTGCTGGGTCAAGCAAGGAATAACAAGGATCATAGACATATGGGATATGGAAAGCAAGGACTGGGTCAGGCCAGGGCAGCTAAGGGGGAAACTACGCTATAGCCACCACCTCGAGGAGTCCCTTGAGGCCCTGACAGAAAAGGTACCTCTAGCGTGGTGGAGAATCCTCAAGAAGGGCCCCACATTGCAAGAAGAAGACTGGGTGGCCTTTCCGGAACGACCTGAGGTGGGCAAGATTGTACAATACGAAAAGGATGGACCAGCAAAGGTGGAGCTCCACCAAGTACAATCGAGTAATGTGATTCAAAAAAAGAACCTAGCGGAAATATTAACGTGCCACAAAGAAGAACTGTTCAGAATCAGGGGTTCTCTGTGAAAAAGAACAACTAGCCTACCTGTCGCAGATCCCGCTGCACCGACTCCCCCTGGACCCGGAGGAGTGGAAATGGTCAACACCCACAAGGAATGGCAGGAAATTCACAAAATCTTTGTATGGGCTAACGGTCAAAGCAACCTATAGGATACTTCGTCCGCGGTTCAACCTGCGAGATCAAGTGGAGGGCCGCTGGATGAAACAGTTGAACATAAGCAAAGACAACCTGAAGAAAGTGAAATGGTTCAAAATGGCAAAAGAAAAACCAGCGAAAAATTGCGTCGCTACAATGGCAAATGGAGCACCGTTGTCTTCCGACTAACGACTGGCTTATTGACAGAACACGTTTGGAGCAAATGGGGAAAGCTCTACCCTGGTGCAGACTATGCACGGACAAATTCCCGTCCCAGAAAAGACCTGAAACCATCGAGCACATTTTTCTTCAATGCCCCAAAGCAGTATGGCTTTGGAGATGGTGGGACATAATCTGGGACCAGGTGGAAACGCTAACCTCATGGCCGTGGGACTGGAAAGCCCTACTCTGCGAAACATGGACCGTCGACGATGTGGATGAGTTTACTGGGAATATGTTTAAACTAGGGCGCAGGGCGGTGCTTTGGGCCCTTTGGCGACGCCGATGTACCTACGAGATGGAACGAGTAAGACTAAAAGGGCCAGAATTCACGGACAGCATCCAACAACAGATCCAGACAGAAATAAAGGCGAAATGGGAATTAGTCAAAACACAGATACTCACACTGTCTTCAAAACATGACATTCAACAAAAGCTTCGGAAATTCTGCTCGGGCTGGCTGGGAGGAGACAAAGGGGGATGGATTGGGAGAGTGGAATGGGAAGGTGGGCATAAATCTGGGGAAGGTTTTGTCAGGGATTATCGATTGCTCTTCAATGATTGGACCAGAATAGATCTCGCTATCCCGGAGTTCCCCGACCTCTTCCCCCCCCCTTCAAACAGTTTAGTGGACTTAGCATGGTTTGGGAGAAATGCATGATTGCGTGGACTTAGCATGGTTTGGGAGGAACGCATGATTATAGACAACAGATTGTAGTAGTACCGGATAGTTGCTCAGGCTGGTTTGCAGACCTAGAGAGCATACAAGGGGAAGGAAGGGACCAGTAAGGAAGGTTTTTTTTTTTGGCTCCATCCCCAGGTGAAGAGGTCCCTGCTCGACCAATCCCCTGTCTTCCAGGGCAACCAATATATACTCATGTTAATGGGACGCTGGACCCGCTTTCCAGCAGGTGCTGCTCCCCACCAATAGATGGAGCCTCCCGGAGCATGCTAGTGGTGTCTGCCCCTACCAACACCACTAGCATACACTCGGGGTGCTATTTTGTAAAAAAAAAAAAAAAAAAAAAACGATCTCCTCGCAGCAAGCAATAAGGTTGGATGCACCTTTGACGCAGGAGGAGTTATGGGAGGCCTTGAAGTCAATGGCTCCAAACAAGACCCCGGGAAAGGATGGATTGACCAGGGAATTCTGGTTGGAGTTTTGGCCAATCCTAGGAGAAGAATACTTAGCCTATCTGGAGCAAGCATGGCAGGACGAAGGATTAGGACAGGATCTGGTGTCGAGCGCATTGGCTCCCGCCGTTATCACAAAGGTGGATGGGAGCCCTCCCGGCCATGTCACGCAGGAGTTAAAACAAAACAAAATGAGAGACAACTTAGGAACGATGCAAAACAATTTCGCGAACCGTCGAGACGGTCGCGGTTGCGTCGTCCCTTCACCGCTCTAGCCCGGTGCGCTAGCTGTACATCCCGCGGTCCCCAACGACAGGATAGCTTCCTGCGGGGGATAAGCTTTCCCCCCCTAAGGGGTTGTCACCACCCTTAGGGGTGTATCCCTATCGAGCTACTGACCCACGTGCGAAAGCTTTTAGATGCAATTACAGAGGTAGGTTAGCCGAGGGCGTTTGATCGTTTGTTGTAGTATAGATACGCTTGGTTAACGCCAAGCGAACTCGAACGCCGTCCGTTCCTAGGGCGCTGATCTCCTAGGTGCGGAGCGGACGCCAGTCGACTAGGACGGTTTCAACCAAGCGTGAGACCCACAACTCGATCCTAGTC